TCCATTCTAATCTAATGTGTTAATCTAATGTACTGATATTAACCTCTTTAATTTGGTCCTGGCTGTGACTTTTTGTAGAAGGACAGATTGGTAAAGTATGTTTCGTCAGAAAGAAAATTTTGTTTATGAACTGCGCCAAACTTTTGCTACTATTGGTATTGTGTCATTAGGAATATGAATGTCTTCTCTGCTTTGAGATTTCAAGCTAGTTGACTTTGTAAATAAATCCCCACAGATTTTCAATATATTTTGTGTCTAGATATATTCTGTAATTGTACATGTATCACATCTTATTGCATTGTTTTTTATTTTTAATTTTGTTTTCAAGCTTAGTTTATTTATTATTTTAATAAACATCAATTATTAGTTCTAAATAATTCTTTATGACACGTATTTTTTTAGTGCAACCATATAAAATTAGCCTAACTTTAAAAATAAAAGAATAAAAGAAGGCTATGGTGACGTTTTTTAAACATCACTATATCCCTAACCCCAACGGTTAGATTTTTAAAATGTATAAATGTTTATGACGGCGTTTCCAAAACGTCATAGTGACGTCATTATAAGTTAGGGTAGGACATTTGGAGGTGTTTTTAAAAACGCCGCCTATATTAATATAATGACGTTTTTCAAGCGCCTTAAAGCGATAGTGACGGCCGCGTCATCGGAGTTTGGTATTAAACGTCACAAAAAGAATTAGCGACGTTTTTAATACCTATAGCGGCGTTTTTAAAACGCCGCCAAAAGTCTATTTTCCAGCAGTGTTTGGTTAATAGCATTTTAGCCCTTAGTTTCGTTAAAGTCTGCAAATAGACCAATAAATAATAATTTTTCCGTATATTATCATAATTAAATCCTACAACACTACTTCATAATTGGAAATACCCTAAAACTTGGTTTTATTTATTTTACCTCCTAGTTTCTAAATTAATTCATACATTTTATTTTTGTAGCCTATTTGAATATTTATTAGTTATTTGACTCTTTAGTATTTATTTGAGAAAATAAATATCTATAAATATCTTAAATAAATATTTTTATTATTTATTTTAATATTTATTTGAGCAAATTAGTTAAGAAAATATCTAGATATTTATTTCCTTCTTTAGTCATTAAGCTAGTGGCTCATTTCCTATAAATTGAGAGCATTGCCTCAATTCCTTATACACACATCTGAGTGGCCAAGGAAAGGGTGAGAGAAGGAGAGTGTGATTAGGGGGAAGTAGAGAAGAAAAAAAAAAGAAAAAAAAAGGAAGAAAATGGTGCTTTCTTGAGTCAAGGTAAGAACACATCTCTCTCTTGTCTTCTCCAATTCTCTCACCCATCTCATCCTATTGTCTAGTATGCCCTCTTGTGTTGTAAATTAATGGTAAATAGGGTTTTTGGTGTGTGTGAAAGTGTGGGTATGATCTAGTGACATTGTCTTGCAAATTTGTCAAAGTATGCACTGTTGCAACTTATCTAATTTAAAAGAAATATCAAATTTATTTATTTCTCAAATCTTAATTTAATGTAGGATATTTGGTGTATTTAGAGTTTGTGATAATTTTATTAGCCCCTCCTTGTGTGTTTTTAGGGCTTGGATATTTTGTTTTAAAAATCTGGTCCCGAGTCTCCAAAAATCAGTCCACTTCTTGCAATTTTATAAAATTTCAGAAAAATCATCTCATGTTGGTTCTTCTGTCAAAGTTTAGAATTCTGAGTTCTCTTTCCAACAGAATTTATTTGGGTGAAAATTGTCAGGTAGATTGAGAAGAAAACTAGTTTTCTCAAAGGGTGACAAATCTGAACAGGTTTTTGAATATAGCTTGTAAATGAATTTCTGCAGGTGCTGTGCAAATTCTGAGAATTGGAACTGAAACTAGATAGGTTGATTATTGTTTATGTGCAATTTCAGTCCCTAATTTGGCCTGGAAGTATTTTTACCAAAGCATTCTTGTTAATCCTGCAGAACTAAACAGCGTTGGAAATGGTGTTTTATTGTGTTAATAGTCTCTAAGTATTTCAAAACATGCCTAATGTTGTTTGCTTGCCTTACCATACTTATGTATGATTATCATGGGCTATATATTTCCTCTCTTATATTTGTTTTATGCTCTTTTATATTATCGAATTACCGAATGTGACTAACTCGCTTATCAAAATATCTAATAAACGAGAAATGAAAAGGAGTTGGCAATAGGTGACGTTCACACTAGTGTTTCGGAATAGTTTATACATATAAATGACATGGATTATGATGGAATTAATACCAAATGAGTTAAGTCTTGCGCAAGTGATCTAAGTGAACCTTTAGGATGACATGGATGTATTCAAACTCTACGAGGTGTTATAGGGTGTAAGTGAGCCCTTTCGTATGGTATGTGTAGGGTGTAAGTGAATCTTAGACACGATTTGGGTGTAAGAGAGCCCACTTGTTTGGCCGTCCCTTTTGAAATCCATCAATGTCACTAACTGGTAAATAACCGGGGGGTGGGTATAAGTGGTAAGGTCTGCAAAGCAGCAAAATGGGGAGTTCTGAGTAGTCCGGTGTTCAACCTTGTGGTTGGGTAGAAGGATCTCTGTGGGGAATTCTAGATGTCTAGTCTAACTACTAATTCGTAGAACCTTATTGTAAGATTGTATGTTATGTTATCCAATTTGTTCTATGTATGGTTGATTGGTTGATAGAAGATATGAGAGGGGGTATGTGTGTTTTACTGGCATTCTAAACTCATGGCGTGTCATGCCAGGTGAGGAAGCAATTTACGATGGTAAATGTTGTCCCAAACGCAATCAAGATGAAGTGTTGGAGCCACGGTTTACTTGAAGATGTAGTCGAGTTTTTTTTTTTTCTTTTGTCTTTTGGTTTGGCAGTGTTTTGTAATCCTATAGTTGTAATCCTATAGCAGAACACTATTGAATTATCTATGCTATAACTCTGCTTATATGTGTATATTAAAATATTTTGGTTATCTATCTTGTTTAAGTTGTATTTTGTACATCCCTTTTACGGTCTCGAATTTTGGGGCGTGCCAACTGCTATTTACCCTTACTTTTTTACTTTAATCCCCACTTCTTTGAAACTCCACCCAACAAAATGAAATCCTTTTATTTTCTTTTTGAACCCCCATCTTAATTCCAACTATGCCCTTCCAACCCAAATCCTAACCCATTTTCAATCACACCCTTCGACACCATTCTGGCAGCTTGCTTTTGACAACCACCATGAATCCTTTCCCCGTGGAGGACCACCTTTTGATTGCTATGAGTGCGACCTCTCTTACCTCCTCATCTTCCTCCTCCTCTTTTTCTTTTTCTTCTTATTATTCTTCTTCTTCTTCTTACCCAGTTTCTTGGATACGAACAAGGCAAGTTTCTCCTCTCTCTTTCTCTCTCTCTCTCTCTCTCTCAGTTAATGGGATTGGAAGTTGGGTCGTGATGGTAGGCAACACAGATGAAAGGGTGGTTGCAGTGGTGGTAATGGTCGCAACGATGAGACATCGAAGGGCGTGGTGGCTCTAGAGATGGCAGTGACTGTCGAAGCCGGAGGTGATGGTGATGGGGATGGGGATAGGGATAGGGATGGAATTAGAGTTAGGGTTAGGATTAGGAGATTAAGAATGAGAGTAAAAACAAAATTTTATATTTGGACAAATAATATAAAAAACAAATAAAGGAGATGGGGTTCTAAGGAGAGAAAAAAAAGAGATAAATAATAGCTTACTTTTAAAAAAGAAAGATCTAAAGAACTAACAGTGTGTTTGGTTTGAGTTTTTTGAATTAAATTTTTTGAAAATTGACTTTTTTGATTTTCGTATTTTTTTGTTTTTAGTGAATATTTTTTAAATTTTAAACATTTTTTTGACGTTTTTAGATGCACCTTACTTAGATATATCTAAAAAGTAAAAAATTTGTGAAAAATATTTTAAAAAACTAATAAATACATAAAAATATGAAAAATGTACTGAATTCTTGTAATTTTTTTTTTTGTATTTTTGATATTTAGTGAATTTTTAAAAGATTTTTTTTACAATTTTTTTACTTTTTAGGTGTATTTATGTTAGGTGTGTCTAAAAAGTAAAAAAAAAATTGCTTAAAATATTAAAAAAAATCAGTAAAAATAAAAAAAAATACGAAAAATAAGAAAGTAAAATTTTCTGAAAAATGTTTTTTGAAAAGTGAAAACAAACAAGGTGATATTTTTCCGTGACACTTGTATTATCTTTTATTAAAAATATATTTGTTTGCTCATAAGGAGTGGCTTGATTACTAAGGCCTTATTTAGGAGGAGAGTTAGACTACAATAACTTTATCAAAAACAAAATATGTTAAAATAATCAATAAGATAAAATATCACTTTTAATTCGTAATTATTTTTTTTTTTCTCATAACTATCAAATCAATTAAAAAAAAAAAATCAACCAACTTTTCAAATATAATTTTTTTTAGTTAGAAAATAGTCAAAAAGCTAAATAGCCAATTAAAATAGCCAACTTTCCAAATAAGGCCTAAATATACTTAAAAATAATTGCCACAAAGAATCATAAGAATAATTTTGCAAAAAAGATAAAACAGTGATAATTTCATGATGTGTATTTTTTATTTTAATTTTCTTTTTGCAAGGAACATGATAAAATAGTGGTAATTTCATTATGCGTATTTTCTAAAATTTGAAAATTGAAATATTATTTATTATTAATTAAATATTATTTGGAAGAAGCATAATTAAAAGAAATTTGAATTTTTTTTTCATATTAAACAAAGTTCAATAAAGATTATTGGGAAAGAGCATAATTAGACAAACTTGAAAAAATTACATATCGATCAATGAAAGCAAAAACCTGAATTAACCAAAATATATTGATTTTTGCATTCTGATAACTCAATTTTTTTAATAAAAATGTATTAATTGAAAATTTGAACTTGTAAGATCACACAATAATCTCTGCTTTGCTACAACACTACAATTCAAAAAAAAAAAAAATCAACATTCTTGACATATTGCAATTAAAATTATATAGATCAACAAATTAATATTATGGATTGTACAATTATCACATGTATAATTACTTGGGTTACAAAATTAACATAAAGTTCTAATTAAATTATACGTTATCAATGATATGATTATATATAAGCCAATATTAGCATTCAAAATTTGCTTATGATATTTAAAACCTGATATATATATATATATATTACCTATGGTACCTGCTTAGAAGAGTAGAATTTTCAATGCAAGGGGAGTTCTTCCATACATGAGAGTGAGCTCTAAGCATTTCCTTTGTTTTGTCTTTCAAATAAGTTGGACAATCAACTTGAAGAAGCAAGCAAAGCTTTGAAACAGTCCCAACTTTCAGCATCTCTTGAATCACCAAAGGTGTCCCAGAAAACTTACAAATCATCGAAAGAATCAACACCGCCCGATCATCCGCCACCGGCGACACCTTCAATAGTGTCTCTGTGATCGCGGCAATGCCGGCAGCGTGACTCAGCAGCTGAGCCCTCCCGTCCGCACAAGAACACAGGTGGAATAATGTCCCCAAAATCAGCTCCGTCGTCCTCTTCTCCGGTGACCCTAATTCCAGCTCGATGAGCTCGAAAACCGCCCCGGCTTCCACCATCATAATCCGGTTTATCCCCCATGGACACGTGTTTAGCATGACATTTAGGGCTGCATTGATAGCAACTCCTTCTCTCAAAACACTCACAATCGTTTTAAAAAACCGGCGTTTTAGCCTCTCTAGTATGTTGGAACTCGCTTTTCCGATGATTGTTTTCAGTACTTGTAGAGCATTACCCTTCACCGTCACATAATTATGAATATTTTGACCTAAAACCCATGTTAACGCCTCGATGATTTGATCATTTTCGATGAGTATTAGCTTTGATTCAGCTGATGATGGACTTTGAATATGGAACAAAATGCTCACAGCTTCTTCGATCCCCGTAGTTTCGCCTCTTTTGTAACATGTTACGATAAATGATGCCACGGCCTTAACCACACCGGCTTCTACCATGTACCTCCGGTTCCTTTCGTGCCCAATAGCGATGACTTCGAGTTTTCTTAGGGTTTTTAACTGCAATTCGGGAAGCCAAAGGTCTCTAATGAGGTTGAGGACATGGGTTTTGTCGAGAGAAGGTTTCGGGGTTGGGATTCGATCGATACCCTTCGATGCATTTTGGGTGCACCATGCTTGAATCAAACGGCGGAGCGTATGGTTTGGTGTTAGGTCAGAGTCTCTTGGCAAGGGCAGGTTGGTCACTGGACAAGTGGCTGTAGAGGTGGAGGTGGTGGCGGCGTGTTTGAATAGCCATTGTTCGATGCTCTCTCGATCATAGGTGATGCCGGTTATGGCAGTGACAGGGTCTTTCATGATTTGTAGAGAAATAGGACAGATGAAGTACTGAGGAACTTCAATATCCTCCATGGACAAATTTGGAAAAATTCAAGAAACCAACTAATATATAAATGAGTAAAGTATTAATATTCTATATGTTTTTGTTACGTGAACGAAGTAAACAACTTGGTTGAGTATTAAAATGGATCAAAAAATGGAACTAATGATGAAATGTGGATGCAACTGGTAGTTGTACTGGTAAGAGAATGCGGCTATTTTATTGACACAATTGAGAGAGAGAGAAAGAGAGAGAGAGAGAGAGAGAGAGAGAGAGAGGATTGGTCTTCTCTTACCAGTCAGCAATTCTAAGTAGAGCTTTCAGTGGTCAAAGCAAGAAAACGCTGATGTGGCCAAATCAAGTGTATCTATGGCTCTATATTGAAATTATTATTTTTTTTTAGTTTTATTTTTTATTTTTTTGTCTATATTGGTAGACAATGTTGATGGAACCACTAATAAACAATTTTATGACTACGAAAATTAATGATGAAGACAAGTTTTCTAAGTTTCCTATCTAGATTTTGGTCGTTGCAGCATTTTGAATTAGTGGATCATTGAATAGCAGGATGATAGTTGACACTACTAGCTCAAACTCAATCTTGTGCTTGAAGATAATTATCCAATATTTTGATGAGTAATTAGTTTCAAAATATTAGGTGATATTGTTTATGTGGTGCAATCTTTTAAATTAATTATAAAAGTAAATAAATGGGTATATTATACTTATCTCTTTTAAAATTTACAGAAAATGCAGTTTGTTTTGCACTTTTAACATTACTAAACTAGTCTCCCTTGATGTTTGAAGGACAAATTTTGTAGTTTGAAATACACCATTAAATATTTTATCCAACTTTTTTTTTTTTTTATCAGCAAAATATTTTATCCAACTTAGCAGTAAGTATAGAAACACATGCCAAAAATAAACATTTTCAAATTTTAGAGGTGTAAATCGCACATAGAATAAAATATAGAGGATTAAAGTGCATTTTGCCTACTAAAAAAATGACGAAAATATCCATAAATAACACACTTAGGTTATTTATATATATGAGTATTTTAGTATTTTTTATTAAATCGTTTTTGGACTCAATGTTGCATTTTAGTTTACAAATCACAAAGGGTTTTGTGGTTATTTTCAAATGAGAAGAGGCTAACATGGGCCTAACCACAAGGAGGGTAAGGTGAAATTTGCTCATGTTTAAATACACCAGGCCTAGTCCTGGTGTATTTTCCGTGTCCTCTCTTTACTCTGCCTCTAACTCTATCCTAGGGCCTCATTCTATCATTTGCAAGCATATTTGGAATGGGGCTGTCCCTCCTAAGGTTTCATTCTTTACTTGGCTTTGCCCACCCTCTGCATTAGTTTCAGTTACTTTAACCTTATTAAAAAAGAAATTAGCATAATTATGTCAAAAAAATGAACCTTGTATTTTTTTTCTTTCTAAATCTCAAGGGGAGTGAGTGTAATTTATCTTTAAATAAATTTACAATAAGATATTCTAACTCACATTTATTAAGTAGTTGGAAGATATATAATCACTTGGTATGAGTTGTTATTTTATATTTGTTAAGAGTATCATAAGCACAATGCCATGTGCTATTTTGAAAGTATCCAATATTTTTTCTATTTTGATATAGCAATGAATGATTAATTTGAGTAATAATTTATGAAATATATATTCACTTGTCGCACTTGAATTTTTACCTTTAATAATTATTGAAAAAAATCTGAATTTTTAATAAGGGCGATTGAAATATTTGTTTTTATTATTATTATTATTTTATTTCATTGTTTGCTTTGCTTGTTCTTTGCTTGCTAGCTTGTTTTACTTGTATCCACCCCAAAAAAGCTTGTTTTACTTGTTTGTTATTTTATTATTTTTGCTGTGTTCCTTTGACTTTCTTTACTTTTACTATTATTTAATTTTTTTCTTCTTATTTATTTATTTATACTTTTATGTATATTTATTTATTTATTTTTATTTATTACTGACTAATTATTATTTTTTGAAAAAAGTTGGTAAAAATAAGGTGTCATTTATGAACATGAGTAAGTTTTCACTGAATTATTGTTTAAAAAGTTGTGAATCAATTAATAATTATAAAATGTTGCCTAACTTAACTATAGATGATATATGAATTCTTAAATGAAAGGGTTGAAATCTTATTATTTATCTAAAACATTTAAGAATTAAATAACAACAAAGACAACTAAAACAAAACTTTACACATTTCCACTCAAGAGCAGGGTGTCGGCGAAAGTTAACCAGACTTTTGTACCTCTTTTAATAGTTTAAGAACTTTTCAATTACAATCAATTAAAGATCAAAACATTTAATAATCAATTATCCATTAATAAATTATATTAATATATAGATCATCTATTATTTCTCACTAACCCAACTAATAATAGTCCCTTTACCACAATGTGAGATTTTTTTTATTAATACCACGTGGTAATAAACCAAAGTACTGTCTCATAAATGAGGAGACATCTTAAGTAGCCATTTAGTTATATTTGTCATTTATCTTTTAAGATACAAGTGATTCAATCCCATAATTATCAATTTTTAATTAACTTAAGGTTTTGCATGACCGATAAATTTATACTTATTATTTCAAGAAAAAACACTGGACAGGAAACACGATCTTGTTTAAAACAGAGTAACATGGACGAGTGATTGCATAATACTCTCAAAGGTGAAATCTAAAGATATAAAAAAATCATTCAATTTACTCTTTTTATATCATTGTACTAACTCTTACATTATATTGAGAGTTTAACTTACAAATATTAACTTAAATATCAGACTGTTCTTCTAAAGATATAAAGAGTAAATTACATTGGTAGTTCTTATATTTTGTCTCTTGTGCCATTTTAGTCGTTATAATTTTAATTAGCTCGATTTTAACTCTTACTTTTAAATTTTATATCAATTTAGTTCAATCGAAAACGTTGATTAGGGTTTTTTTTTATAAAAAAAATTCACTGAATTGGTTGAGAATAAGTTTGCAATTTTTTCTATAAAAACATAATATATGTCGCTTATGTGCGCATTTTTTTATTTATCAAAAGACATTAGCAATTTTAATCAATTGACCAAATTAAGAAAAACTTATAAATTAGAATCAAAATCGATCCAATTGAAATTACATAAATCAAAATGACATAGAAAAAATATACAGACTGCTAGTATAATTTTCCCATATAAATATCATAAAGTGTTTATCAAAATTAACAAAGATGAATTAGCATAAGAGCCAAAAATAAATAAATAACTTGGCTTGACATTACAAATATTATTTATAATCACATTTATTTCACCCTTTTATTACACCTTCTATGTGTGTATATACATATATATGTAATAAATGTTATGTAAATGTGGAGCCCATTATATTTTAAAAAAAAAATAAAAAAAAAAGAAGAAGTTAAACCCATCATGACATGAGAAAAAAATACTAGACTTAGCTTTTAAATATTATTAAGGAAATAGTGCTTTTGATTCGATTATATTTTTTATTTTTTATTAATTAATGATATCACCGTTAAATTCAACATTTAAAGGAAACATGATCCCTCAATTTTTACCAAATGTTCTGTAAATTGTAAGGGATTCAAGGCTAAAAATGAAAGTCAGGGTGTTCAATTAATACACTTACGGGCATATTATTTGTACGTATTTTCCATATTGACAATTTTAAATTAATATTATTCACTACAAGAAAAAATATTTTTGGCAATCGCCTATTTTTTTTGGTCGCAAATAGTCTACTTTCTGCTACCAAAATTTAACTTTTGGCGACCACAATTTTTTGGTCGGCGAAAATCACCTTTTGGCGACTAAAAAAAAAGTTGGTAGCGAAAAGTATACCTATTGGCGACCAAAGGCTTTTTTGGTCGCGGAAGATCACCTTTTGGCGACTAAAAAAAAAGTTGGTCACAGAAAGTATACCCTTTGGTGACCAAAAAAAAAAATTGGTCGCGGAAAGTATACTATTGGCTACTAAAGGCTTTTTTGGTCGCGGAAGATTACTCTTTGGCAACCAAAAAAAAAAGTTGGTCGCGGAAAGTATACTATTGGTGACCAAAGGCTTTTTTGGTTGCAGAAGATCACCTTTTGACGACCAAAAAAAAACGTTGATCGCGGAAAGTTATGGCGGGATAAATTTTTAAAAAAATGATACTACTATAATTACATGTTATTTTTCTGTTTAGGCATTAAAAGTTTTATGAAATAATATATAACCCAATTTTTATGGTTTATATATATTGTTTGCCGAATATGAACAAGAAGCATGTTATTGGCAGAGTGGATTGGGTGTATGTTGGCTCCTTGGTTAGGAGTTCAAGTCCCAGGCACCACAAAAGAATTATTTCTTTTGGGTCAAGGCGCTGACTTTTGGCGACCAACTTATCTTTGGTCGCTAAAAGTTTACTTTTGGCTAATATGAATTGGACTTTCCGCGACCAAAAAAGTTGGTCGCGAATGGTCACTTTTAGCGACTAAAGGCTTGTTTGGTCGTAGAAAACTATCTGTGATAAGGTTTTAGCGACCAACATATTTTGGTCGCGAAAAGGTTTTAGCGACCAAATATGCTACTTTTCGCGACCAAAATGTTGGTCACGGAAAGTGTTTTTTCTTGTAGTGATTTTTTTAAATTATATACTGCGAACTCTTATTACACATGTCTCTTCATATAATATTGATTGAAATTTATTTTAATTACTATCTCAAATATTAGTTATAAAGTCAAAGAAAATTTGTAGGTCTTAAAGTTTTAAGGTACAAATTTTATGTTAGAATTTATTCAAATGTAATTCTCTTAATATTTAATAAAAAAATTTATTGATTGATAAAAAAACACCATAAACATTAAGATTATTATTATTATTTTTTTTTATGGTATTGAGTTATTAAAATATGATGTATTATAGGTTAAACCAAGGATTATTGAAAAAAAACTTGACTCGAATTAGATTTTCTAGGCTAATTTTTAACATTTAATCTAATATTGGCACTCATAAACTAGTTCATATTGGTCCCGAACCGATAAAGATAATTTTTCATGATTAGGTAAATGTCACATTGCCATAAATATTGAGTTGAGTAGTTTTTAAGTAACTTCTAATGTTTAGTCCAACATCACAAGTCAATC